CGGTTTCCACATCGTCTCAGGTAATCAAAGACACTTGTCGAAAATGGTGGCTGTTGGTAAAATGAGCAGATTAAATGATTTTCTGACACAAGTGAAGGTACGCAGTACAGCTGTTTTGTCATTATGGGGAATCGTCGGTCGTACTCATCACTAGCGAGATTGCAAATCCACGAGCTCCTGGTTGTTGACTGAAAGATATAACGATCGGCCACGAAAGGCTGATCAGCAACATGAGTAACTCGACTTTAAATGGGATATAGTAGAACTCGTTTTTGGCGAAGCAATTCACATTAAATGGTCATGTATTGCCTGACTTAGATGAAAATCTCATGAAACTTTTTTGGATTCAACTCCTTTCTAGGCTGAGCTATAGACGTCAACTTTTGGCCTGGGATCGTATAGAAATCACCCTAGTCAAGGCCCCCTGATGATTCGCAACGATGGTAAACTAGCTTTACACTGCTCCTCAACTTTTCAGTATAGATTGACTTTAAGCAGGTGGGGCCGGTAGTAATGGCTGATGATTCGCAACGATGGTAAACTAGCTTTACACTGCTCCTCAACTTTTCAGTATAGATTGACTTTAAGCAGGTGGCGACAGGTAGTAATGGCACCTTTGAAAGTGAAACATGATTTGCCACGTATCTACCGATGCAAGTCGGAATGCGGCAGGAGGATAGTTGTCATTGTATGGCAACAGCTTACTCTGTCTGCAGAACTCTCACCTTTGTCAGTACGGTAGCCTGCTACTGTGGGGTTCGCTGAGATCGATGAACAATTGAAGTCTAACACCCCTGACGTGAGTTTTAAACTATCTCCGACCCATTTACACTAACCAAGCATACTTCAATGAAAACAGACCACCTTCAGACAAAGGCCACTTGTCCATGGACTGGTCGCAAAATGGAAGACACCAAATTATTAGCGACAGAGTTCGCCCACCCCAGTTTATTTTTTTGATACTCATTATAACCTTTAACTCTCCTTGAATGAGATTTACGGTATTTCATGTCAATCCACGTTAATTTGGTATATTTGAGATTTCCCTAGATAAACGACATGTATAAATTTACCACCTGAGAAGGAAACTCAGTGGGGACTGGGGGCACTATATGTAAAAAGCTGGTTGACATTAAGAATGACATGCTCATGAACTAAGTTGCCCACACGTGTATAGGTGGCACGAAGAAATTCACTTTGAAATGATATACACGCAACATTCATGTACACGTAACGTATGGTTTTCACCATAGAGCTAGCAAAAGAAACTTTTTTGACTATTTGACAGAGTTACTTCAAATATACGTCCCCTGAACAATCAAACATTCATTCAGCGAACACAATACATGCTTTTTTGAAGTGAGAATGTCCGGTGGTAGTACAGTTATTATATTTGTTTCAAACGTGGTTTTTTCTCAATGGCTTTAGTCCAGTGCATGGCCCAGATCTGTTTCCTTGTTCCACAGAGCAATTTACTAGTTTATGCTTTCGTATTCTGCATTTGTGGACTTTGTCATGTTAACGGCAGATCAAAGTAACCAAGGCCGGTATAAACCAGGCACGTTAACTGCTGTGATGAAGTATAATCAGTAGCTTACCGCATGATATGCCTGGCTTTTTCATGATTGCGCAAAGTAGCCAAAAAACCGTAGAATTACACTCATTTGCAAATCAATTTGGTTTTTACGAGAGACTCAACAGAATGTGCTGCACACAGGCCGCCTCATGTTTCAGTTGGCACGATAATCGAGATATCGCAGTATATTTTCATAAAAGAAACTACTCACAAGGATGGTGAAAACTCTTCCACAGCCCACGATCGGTTTTGCCCTTCTTGGGACTCATCAGGCAGGCGCAGTCCCCGAGTTTTCGCCAACCTTATGTTCTACTTGAACCCAAATTGACTTGTTTTCGAGAATCATGAGGCGGCCTGTGTGCAGCACGTTCAGTTGTAGAACAGCATAATTGAGAGATTCATTCAAGTCTCTCGTGAAAACCAGATTGATTTGCAAATGAGTGTACTTATCGAAAACAGTGCAATTTGGGTCCGAGTGGATCATTGGGTTGACGGAAACTCGGGGACTGCGTCTACCTGATGAGCCCCAAGAAGGGCAAAACCGGTCGTGGGCTGTCGAAGAGTTTTCAGCAACCTTGTGAGTAGTTTCCTTTATGAAAACTGTATGATTAATTAGTCTGTTGGAACACATGTTATTATGAAGGAACGGTGTGCCAAAAGTTATGGAAATTGTTAACCATTCAAATAAAGCAGTTTTGCCTAAAGATAAACCCCGATAGGTAGATCACCCAACAAAGCTGGAGAATGTTCCTGTTTCCTACAGGAACTCTCTAGATGCGTTCCATTGGCGAAACGTTTGCTGGAGAAAATGCTCGAGAACTCGCTGACTGGCTACGAACAAACTCAGCTGTACGCCAATTCCACTGTTAACACTTCTAGGTAAAAACAACCACAAGTCTGTCTTTCAAAGTCAAAAAATTAGCAAAAGGCAACTTAATCAAGTGGCATTAAAGCGGTATAGATTGTTGGTCCGAATTCAGCTAACAAGATGGAGTCTTTAGATTTAACGAATAGATAGTCATTTCTCTTTTCAAATTCAAGATCCACTTTCAATCACACTCCATTGAACTAGCCCCCCATTCAGGTAGCCAATCCAGTTACGTTCGCATATTTTGCTTCCTTTTATCCATTAAATAGAGAGTAAAATGATTTCGTTTAGGTAACCCTCACCTGAGACTAAATCCGCGCCCAATTCTACCCAATTCACGTGGCGGTGATGCAGAAACACCCAAATATTGCTATTCTCAATCCATGTTAGTCAGCAGCTCCCGAACCAACTACCACGTCACAAGTAATGAGCTTCCTATGTCATTATCGGATTTCTCGGTTCTGGGCATGCTGGCAGAGTAGGTAAGAGGCTCGCGGAGTTTTTCATCTGGAGCGGCTTCAAACATGTGTGGTGCCAACAGTCAACTAGGACTTTCCAGTTCACTATATCACGAGCAGTTTTGTGCAGAAATTGTTGCAACACATACAGATGCCTGTGCATGCACACTATGTTCTTTACAGAAGCCCCGGAAATGATTGTCACGCGAACAAGTGACAATGGCTTCTAGTGACCGAATTGTTTGATCGGTATCGAACAGTAGAATATTACCGCCTCATCTGTGCAACTGCACTAGGTTGCCACGGTTCCCACAATTGTTTTTTTCGAATGAACCACTTCGCCAATTAGCTTTCTGTACACAGTACCTCTTCTTGAATCTCGGCAGCTACTCGCTACTACTGGTTATCTTTCTTTCACTCTCACCACCCATGATGCCAACTGATGGGTGATCCCGTCTAGGAAGATCCGGTCGACGGGACAGTCACCAAAGAGCAAGTAAATGTCTGTACATTACGAACGAAAACCCATAGCAAGTGGGAATTTCTCAATGACGAACGTGAAGGAACGGAAGGCTCAGTCATTACTTCTGAGCTAACTCCGTCTCACCGATCGTAGCTAAGCAGATATGATAAAAAGCAATAAACTTTAAAATAAACCCGTTAACTAGCTAACTCCTTTCGAAATCGTTTTAGATGAACTAAGGTGTATCAATGTCGGAAACCTCAGTGTGAGGTATGAACAAACAGTGCACAAAAGTACGAGACTCCAACGCTGTCACGTCAGCTTTCACCGAGCAGTTCATTAGTACACATCACAGACTTGGTTGTCTGATCAAATGGCTGACAGCCAAACCCAGGGACTCAAAAGTGAAATATGCGCAGAACTGATACAGGATGGACTGGTTATTTGGCTCGAGCGGCTCAAATCTGCTGGTCTACTCAACTATCCAAAACTCTCCATCCAGCAGGCGTAAAGGGAGAGCTCCAGATTAGGTGCATATAGTAACGGCCATGTTGCTTGACAGGTAGATATAACTTAACCGAAAATGAAACGTAGAATGTCGGTAATGTTTTTGAACAAGCGAGAACAGCGGATTGATGCTACTTACTTTGTTCTGCTGCGTTAGGGGACGATTCAATTTTGGAGCCCATAAGAAACTACTACTAGGACGAGGGAGCAAACAGACTTTGATCAGACAGTTTACGCACTTAGCTGATCGACTTAGTAAACTGGATAGTCATCAGAGTTACGAGGTAGTCGGAAACTGAACAGCTAAACTGTTCCTCTAAGCATTCGGCTCAGCTTTCCATTCGGCGTGTATGCTGCCAGTGTGGCCCGCGAAATCATTGCAGCACTAAAGCCCGACCACTACATCAGGGCGGCAGCTTCATGTGCACAACTCACATTAGTTGTGTAGCTGAGAGATTATGGAAGATCGTATGGTCCTTACAGGTGGCCTTCTGCTTGTCTAACAAATGAACAAAGCTTAGCCTTTGAGCCAGCAGCTTGAACGCACAAGAGTGGAGGGCTCAGGAAACATGTATGGATCATGAACAAACGTACACAAGTAAATCTATGTAACCGCTCAGCGTATACCTATTAAGATCTAGTTTACATCTCCACAATGAAGTAACGTTAGCTTAGTGTTTACTTGACAAGATATATTGATCTGTTTTGTGCAGTGATTCAAAGCATTAAGAGGATGACATTCTTGTACAGCAATATTCTGTGAAGGCTCTCGTTAAAACGTACTCAATATGGTGGCCATAGCTACTAGAGTAGCGAATAATTGGAACACGCAGGTAAATGACACATTTGATCATTCTGATCTCTAAGTACTTGATCTTAGGTTATCGAAGGTCCTTTTACATTCAGTAATGATCGTAACAGTCTCCTTTCAACTTGATAGAATCATCCTGGTGGATACATATTCTATTAAAGAGGACGTGTTTGTCGATGATTCCAAATTCCATGGGGCGGAAATGGTGCGGACAAAACTGCCGTGGCATACGAGCAGTTAAAATATTAAGTTTTGGATGCCGCCACCACACTGGTACTCAAGTAGCTCCACCAGTCCCAGAAGTCAAGACAAACAAAGGTTTATGTAATTTTGTTTTGTAAGATAATTATTCTGACACACATTAATTTTCAAAGAAATGAGGTCAGTCAACTACATAGTAGTATCGGCTTAGAAAAAACTGTGTTACTCTCTGACTGCGAATTGTTTCTTCCCTTGATCGTTCACCACGCAAATATGCTGCAAGAGGGTGAGGGTTGGAGAATAAATTGTTTGAAATTTTCTGTTGCATTAACCAGTGTATACGCCTCAGCAGGAATTATGTGGCAAAAATGAATTAAGGAAAGTAAAAAACGATT